CAAGATTTTGGGAGTGACCAACTAGATGGGGATTAATGCTACTCCCTGAAAATTTGAGGATTGTAGAAGGCATTTTTGGGGAGGGTATCTTTTGGACATAAGTTTGAAACCCAAGTTGAGGAGTGGAATAGTTATTTGGCTCGATGGGTTTGTTTTTCAAAGAGGCTTCAGCTGGAGATAGAAATAGAGATGAGACATCAGTACAAAAAAATGGAATTTAAATCATGAAGTGGATGAGATAACTTAAGACGTATAGAGAAGGCAGAGAGCTCAGGTGTTAACCTTGAGGCAGGCACTCTGTCATTTAGATGCTAGGGGGAGAAGGAGACTAATAAACAGGAGGCAGGAGGAACCCCAAGAGTATGCTGGGCTGCGAGTAAGTGAAGAAAATGTTGCCAGGAGGAAGAAATGGTCTAGTGTGCTGATGCTCCTTGAGATGATGAGTAAGGGGAGGGGAATGTATGCTTATCATGACTGACAACATGGAAGCCTTTGGGGACTTTGTAGGGGCAGTTTTGGTAGAGCAGTGGGCAGATACTGATTGGACTGGGCAGTTGAGGGAATAGGAGTTTAGAAGGAAGGGGAGGGGTGATGAGTATAGACTCTTCATACTCTATATATGTCTATGAAGGCATTGGGCCCCAGGAAGGGAATCGTGGGGCTAAGGAAAGCACTGGAGTTTGATTTGGTGTTTTGGATAGGATATCATGTTAAGTTGAACCATAGGAACTTGGTAAATTTTACTATTTTTGGCTTAAGAGAATGGCAGATTTCATATCGCTTGACCTGAGGTTACATGTTACACAATTGAGAATGAGTTACGTTTAAAAAGGGAGTTTGATGAAGCAGTGTTGAGAGAGTTTTAACCAAAAGAATACCAGCCTTTGAGCTGTTGAGAGAGATGGGTTTGGAGCTCACCAGTCAAGTGTTGGCCTTTGAAGTGGGGAAGGGGAAGGCACACATTTTTTTTCCACTGTAACAGGAAGGAAGATGCTGATGTGCAGATTCAACCAAGCTTGAGTGATCACGGTGATGCCGATTCCGGCAGCTAGTGCTTACCTGGGGCAAATAATTATGTAATAAGCTTGCAGATTTAGCTGTAGGTGTACATTGATTGATTTTGCTCATAGGACTGAGTGGGTGCTGATCCTGTTTTGCCTTGTACGAGGCTCTAAATTTTCTCTCTTAACAGTCATTTGGATTAGTGAGTTTTTTTGCTCAATTTTTCTCTTTCATCAAAAGCAAAGTAAATCAAATATCATGACCTTCTTCTCCACTCCTCAGCAGTGCAACATCATGGCCTCCCTATAGAACTGATAAGCAAATCAAAGAGTAAAATGGTTTTCTCACAAGTGATTTTCTTACCCTACAGAAAATTGTCTTTTTCAGTAATACTATCAGTATTCCTTGACTTGTCAGTGTAATTGAAACATTATCTATGATTTCTGTTCCTTTAATGCAGACTACAAGCACATCCTTTTAAGGCCATACTACTCTTCTCTGCTGTATATACAAAATTTACTTATGAGGTGCGTGTGTTTCAAGAATTTCAGCCATTTGGGGGGAGACTTTGTGGCACCACATAATATAGTTTATAAAAAATGATTTTCATTAGACTATTCTGCTGTCATATCCCCAGGCCACAATTTTCTTCACGGTCTTATTAATTCGGTACAAAATTCCAGGTACTGATCATTAATTGTATCTTTAAAGCTACAATGAAATAAAAATTCGTCTTTGGTGCCTGCAGCGTTATTTTTCACAAAACATCTATCTCCTGTAATGTTTATTTTGAGTAATACTCTCATCCATGGGTTATGGGGCTAGGGCCATCGTAAGAATATTCCCAGATGGAGCCCTCTTCTTTCTCAGTGTGTGCTTATTGAACTACCTGTAGGCAGCTTTGCTGTATGCACGGCTCCAAAATTATCATTTCCTGAAAGTACAGAAAGGTCTGGAGAAGTGCAGACACCCCTGTATTAATTTATACACTGCTAGTTTATTGGAGGATGAAACATGTAGTATTTAAAAGCTCTAGGGTGCTGATATTTTAGACTAAGTTTTATTGTACGGAGGCGGGTACCTTTACTAGAGGCAGGACAAGTCATCATGTTCTAATTCTGCTTGGAATTAGAGGAACTTAATTTACTGTTGTTACCTGCTGTGGTAGAAATTACAAGCATCGCTTGTATCTTCAGGATTGGAAATATTCAACAAAACACATCAGGTTTCAAAAAGCTGTAGTCTCCGTGTTTTGAAAATAAACGAAGAAAAGTTTTTACCCTTATTTCAGACAGTCTTTGATAGCATGTCTGTTTAGGAAAATCCGTATGGATTAGTTAGGAAAATCTGTATGGATTAGTTAGGAAAATCTGTATGGACTCTCATGTATTTTGAGCTTCTTTGGGTGAGCTTCGGGTTATGCCAAGGGGACTGCCTTTGGCCTTTCTGCTGAGAATCGCTCAACCAGCATCGACATCTGCTGATAAAGAAGGGTTTGTAGTATGATAGTGCTCACTAGCTTTGCTGACCCGAAGTCTCCATGGTTCACCCAGCTTCTCTTTGAGCCCTGAACTGGTGTTGCACTGATCCATCCTGTTTCCTTTGCTTTGCCATTTTTAGTCATGAACTGATGCATGTTCTCCCTCTTGCTTTTCACTAGAGGAAATGGGGCTTATCTTACAGGATGAGTTCTGTGTTAAAACCTTACACTTCCGGCTTCTGTATAATAGGCTGATGAACAGGCTTCAGAGTTCTACCTCTTGGACACATAGCACGCTACCCCAGAGGAGACAGTTGGCTTATAGGCCTACAGTTTTGACATATAGAGCTATTTCTGTCACATGTCTCTAAGTAGGGTAGGGGAGCATCTTTCAGGTCTGTGAAGGCTGTCTTAATGTTTCTTGTTTCAGGCTTTGGATATTTGTCCCCAGTGTCATCTTTTCTTCCACCTCCCTCCTCCCCACAAAGATAATGTGCTGCTGACTTGCTTCTAATTTTGGATATTTCTTTTCTCATTCCAAAATATTTTCTCTAGTCCCTTCAGACTTCTGTCAGTTTCACACAGTTTGCTCCAGTGGCCTTCCCTTGGTAGACACCAGTCTCCTGACCTGTCCCCTCACCTTGTTGAACTGGCCTCTAACCCGGAAGTAGAATCATTTTTTCTCCTGGCTTCCCTATCACAAAGTCAGCAGCTATTCATAACAGACTAAAGAAGAATATAAATACCCGTAACCAGTTTTTACCATCTTGATTATGGTCTTTCATATTTTTTTTTCAAAAAGGATGGTATCAAATTATAATTATTTTGCGCATGCTTTTTAAACGTTTTCTCCACTGTACCTCCTGAAATACCTTCCCATATATTTCTGTTTTTAAGGAATTTATATTTCTAAATTTTCATGACTGAAAGCATTTCCATGATATAGATGTACCATTTGACCAGTTCTTTACCTTTGGACATTTAAGTGTTTTCTCTTTTCCCTTCCTTTTTCTTACTGTTCTTTACCTTTGGACATTTAAGTGTTTTCTCTTTTCCCTTCCTCTTTCTTACTGTCCTCCTGTTATTTCTGACTTCTTTCTGACTTCCTGTTCTTTACTGGTGATAGAACTTTTGTTTTTGGGTGTCCAGAGTTATTTGCTCACTGTGCGTGTAGTTATTTTATTAAACTCCAGTGTGGACTTTTGGGTAGGCTGTTTCTAGTGACAGTGTCACTTTCTTTGTTCAGGTACAGACCCATATCTTATGTATATCTGTCTTCCCAGCATGTAGCATTATGCCTGGTACAGTGGGTATTCACTAAAGATTTATTGTGGAGTTCCAGAAATATAAAGGCCATGGGACAAATACTTAAGTATCTACCATATATTTAAGGCCCAAGATATAGGCGTGAAGAAGACAAAGATTGTCCTTGCTCTCATAAGCTGAAATATTATTCTCTACAACAAGGTTTATGTTATAAAGACGACAAACCTCTTAATGAAATGTGAGGATCAATGAAAAAACCTTAAATTCAGGGTGCTGGGTGGCTCAGTTGGCTAAGTGTCTGCCTTTGGCCCACGTTGTGATCCCAGGGTCCTGGGATCAAGACCCACATCAGGGCCCCTGCTCAGTGGGGAGCCTGCTTCTCCCTCTGCCCCTCCTCCTCCACTTGTGCTGTGTCTCTCACTTTCTCTCTCAAATAAGTAAAATCTTTTTTTTTTTAAGATTTTATTTATTTATTGACAGAGATCACAAGTAGGCAGAGAGGCAGGCAAAGAGAGAGGAGGAAGCAGGCTCCCTGCTGAGCAGAGAGCCCGATGTGGGGCTCGATCCCAGGACCATGGGATCATGACCTGAGCTGAAGGCAGAGGCTTTAACGCACTGAGCCACCCAGGCGCCCCTCAAATAAATAAAATCTTTAAAAAAGAAAAATAAAAACAATAAAAAACCTTAAAGTCGCACAATGTAGGAAAAGCAGTCTACATGACCTCTAGTGTGGTTACTTTTCATGCATATAGCTAATTCGAGTTTATTAATTGATCTTCCTGTAGATGATATTTCTTATTTAGGATTGTCCGCTAGGGTTACTACAATGGAATGATTTTTTTCGGGTTCATACTTTTTGACTCTTTCAAGTAACTAGTATCAGTTAACTGAAATTTAAAATTTCATACCTGAACATAATATGTTGTACTTAGCTATTATAGAGAACTCAGCAGTCTTTTAGGACTGGGTTTGGGGCAATAGGAAATAAATCCCCAAATATTTTTGGTCTCTCTGTTGCACATTTTAAAATGTGATTAAACAAAGATTGCAGCCATGGAGATTTTCTGCTGTAAATTGGTGTTTCAACACAGCCAGCTGTTCACGCTTTTTGCGATCCCACTTATAAAAGTGGCAAGTAAAGGGTGAGTGGCTGCCCTCTTGGGCAGGCACATAATTTAAAAAAAAAAATGTGTGTGCCTCAGCAGAGCTATATTAGAGTTTCATATAGCTGCCTTTTTCTTTTTTATTGTAGGGCCAGCTCTCAATGTTGCAAGAAAAAATAGACCATTTGGAACGTTTGCTAGCTGAGAATAATGAGATCATCTCAAATATTAGAGACTCGGTCATCAATTTGAGTGAGTCTGTGGAGGATGGTCCAAAAAGTTCACAAGGCAATTTCAGCCAGGGTGCTGGCTCACCTCTTCTGCCATCAAAACAACTGTCCCTTGTAGTGGACCCTGAAGACTGTTCATTCGCTTTGCAGAGTGGAAGTCAGAATTCAGATGTGCAGGTAATGTATGCATTTGTTAATGATCATTGGGTTTTTCTTGCTTTTACTTCTTTTTTGACCTGGTGTCTGTTTTAACTTAGTAAGTTACTTGAACTCTCTGGATTCCAGTTTCTGTTTTTGTAAAGTAAATTGATTAGTCACATGGTCATTAAAGTTCTTTTTAGTGATAAAATTCTATAATTCTATGCTTTCCCCCAATTTTTTTTTATTATTTTATACTTTATGATTATGGCCTTTTTGTATGCTTTTTAGGTCTTATGTGATCTAGTAGATGAAGACCTTTAGAGATTTAAATTTGGCTAAAGAGATTCTCTTATCTTCCTATAAAGAATATAAGAAAAGCCCTATTCTTACTATATATCTGTTACACATTATAGGTTTCACACAGTGTAGGGTTAGATACCTTCTGGTGAATATCTCTTTGTGAGAGAGGGAAGGGAAATATTCTAGAGCTGTGCTGTTCAGTATGAAAGTCATTGTCCACATGTGGCTGCTGAGCACTTGAAATGTGGCTAGTTTGAATTGAGATGTGCTCTAAGTAAGATTAAAGACTTACTGTGAAAACAAATGCAAGATACTTTGTTTCATTTTACATATATGTGGAGATAATATTATGAATCTATTGGGTTAAATAAAATATATCATAAAAATTAATTTCACTTATTTTACTAGGAAATTTAAAATTAAGGATTTTGGCTTGGATTCTGTTTCTCTTGGATAGCACCTTTCTAGAGGTTAGAGGAGTTGTAATCTAGGATAAGAAAGGACTTCTGCTTTTCTTAAATTTAAGGTCAAATGTGCTCTGTTCTGCCTGTTAACACAGAGCTGTGTTTAACTTGTACCTTAGACCTGCAGCTGGAATTGGGTGACAAGTCCATAAAGAGCAAATATTTTACAGTTGGACAACATGGGTTGGCTCTGGCCTCGCTTCAGAGTAGATGTTTCACTAACTGCTGGGGACAGGGAACGTGATAGGATCTTGAAGTCATGGCTCACAGGCCAACAGCTGGGGACAGAGTTGGCCAGGCCTTGTGCTTATAATCTTATCAACTAGTGTGTGACCAGATTCACACACTATCAGGATTCTGTGTTGTGAAGGTATATCTATTTTTGTGAGTCTTGGCCTTGTATAGATTTTAAATAAGTACCTTTTAAAGGAAAACAACAAAAAAGGAGGGGGCTGTTAAATCTGGGCTGGACAGAAACAACTGTGCTGCTGAACAACCCCAGAACGTGGGCAGAGCGAGGCAGTATGGGACAGGGCAAGCTGCAGGGCTAGGAAAAGAAGGAATAACAGAGACTGCTAACACATCTTCCTTTCCAGCTGGTTCCCAAAGATTTATCGACTCTTCCTTGGGAGCATTTTATTTTATTTATTAAATAAATTCATACATTGTGAAGTGAGATGTTGTTGCCTTAAAATACTTTGTATTCATTTCTTACATAATGGCTTGGTATCTTTAAATTTTTTTGTAGCCTGCTTAAATATTTTATAATATATAATAATTTTACATAATTTAAATTTTACCAAAGACATTTGTGTTCTTTGTCCCATTTAGTATTATAGAGGGGATGAAAAATACAAGTTTTTAGGTTTCTTTTTTTCCCTGCAATATTTTTTCCTTTGTATCCAAATAGGTTATTACCTAGGGCTATTACATTGGAAATGTAGGCAGCATTTGAACATTTAACAATTTCCATTTTCACATGATTATGCCTCATTGACTCAGTTGTAGTTTTATTTTTAGAATGAAGACAGTAAATAATATTTGCTAAGAGAAGGAATAGCTGTAGATGCATTTCCATTCAGATACAGATTTTAAAAAATATGTGATTAATTGTAAAAAAAGGACAACTCGAAATAAAAAAAATAATTATCGGTATTGTGTGTGAAAATGCTGAAATATTTGGTCATAATTGCACTTCATAAGAAGTTTTTTCTTTGCTAAAAAAAAAAAGAGAGAGATTTTTTTTTTTCTTTGCTGTTTAGTTCCTATCAATTTCTATTAGATTGTATTAGAAGTCAAGCAGGGCAAGAAGTAATTGAATGAACTTATTTTTCATTAGAAGCAGATAGGGGAGGAGCTTATTTATCAGGATAGTTAAGTAACAGTAGCATTTTAAGAATTTGAATGGTAATTAAATGTTTTTTGCCTTAAACTCTTCAGTTAATGTACACAGAAATAACTTTATCTAGTAAAATACAGGGTACAACAGTGAATAGCTCTGAGCAAATATTTTCCAACATTAAGTTCAAATTAAAAATGGTAATACATGGTTAAACTTACTCTTTTTTTTGCCTTTATTTTGTCTTTTGTATTTTTAGATGTTGGATGTTTACAGTCTAATTCCTTTTGACAATCCAGATGGTGGAGTTTGGAAACAAGGATTTGACATTAGCTATTTATTTAATGAATGGGACTCTAAGCCCCTTCAAGTCTTTGTGGTGCCTCATTCCCATAATGACCCAGGTAAAATTTGCACTTCAAAAAAACTACAGGTTATTAAGCCCCTGTACACACAGAGTATTTTAATGAGAATCTGGTAGATCCAATTTCTCAAATGTTTGAGACATTATTCGTTGACTTATTACAGTAACAGATTTCTTTTATATGTCATTGTATTTTGAGTTTTTTATTTTTATCAATTTTTGTGCCATCCATGGATAGTACTTGTACAATGTGAAATGGTAATAAGCACAAGAAGATCTTTGTTTTGGTAATGAAAAGTTGCACTCACTTAAAGTGCTGATCGTTCATTATAGTTACGTCTTATAAAATACTGCATGGGAGAATTACTTCATGTTCATAAACTCTGCACTAAAAAATGCAGAATTCTCGTGGGAATGTTTGAATCTTTAAAATGGAGAAACAAGTGGTTAAGAGTCTTGGTCAGGTGGACCTGAGTGTGAAGTCCCAAGCCCATGGTGTGAGACAACTTTAGGCAAGTTACTGAATATGAAAGTAAGTATTTTTTCCCCAGTAGAATCAGGATAAAGTACCTACTTCATAAGATGAGATGTAGAAGCATGACGCATGGCTCCAGGAACTGCTGTCATTATCATTTTTGTTATTATTTCATATGACAGCTTTTGCTATTTATTGGGGCTGGAGACTTTTTCCACCAACATAAGGGAAAATCGCTAAAATTACAATGGGAAACATGATTGAGTGTATAGATCTGTTAGTGCGAGTACACTGGCACCAAGTAAATACTTCATGAATTCGGTTGCCGGACTTTTGGGGGCATATACTTCGAAAGACTTCCTTTGAGGACTGACATACGTTTCTGTTTGTTATTTTTCTCAATTTCTCCATTTCATCATTACTGTCAGAGGCACCATTATTCATCTAGTACTTTGAAGGCTTTTTCTTTACTCCCAACATTCATTTATCCCAACTTATATCCCTTCCCACTGGTTTATTGGCATATGTTCCTTTTTGTTTCTAAGACAGTAGAACTTGTTACTTTAGGTCTGGACACATGATTTGGTAAAGTCGTATGTGTATGTTTGTGCATACAGGTTGTGTGCTGCCTTTGGATGTGAAAGGTACTTGGAGACAGTTTGGATGCCTAAATGTTTGAATTTCCATAAAACTTCAATATATAGCATGCACGGAGGTATAAAATATGTACAATCAGTATTCTTCTGGAATTTGTAGTGAGCACATGTCGTACTTCTGACTTTGGTTTCTCTGTCCTTGGGCTTAATATCTTTATCTTTTCTTAGACATGCCTATCAGTCTTATTAACCATTCCTCTTAAATGTTTTGTGTCCTATTCTTCCTTAGTGTTAGCCTGTCGCTTCAAATCCAAACTCCGATGGCTGGGCATCATGGAAAGACTGCAGGGATCTGGAACCAGGCAGAATGAGGCAGGCATCCTGGCTCTGCTGTAGACTGGCCCCAAGTCCTTTGGGCACGATTGTCTGTCAAATGTAGATCATATGGGTAGAATAGTGTCTTCAAGTGATAGTTATCAAGTACATACAAATGGTGATCACATGTAGTTAAAATTCCTTTTGCTCTTTACTTGTATGCCAGATTAAAGAGTATATCTGCATTTAGGGTATGTGTACTACAAAATAGATCTTTGTTTATATCTAGACTTACAGTGAGGGGAGGTGCTCACACATCACACATGGGATCTGAGTTTGCCTGTAGAACTACAGATGATTTTCTCTGTAAATCTCATTCACTCTGAAATATTCCCTTATTGAATGTAATGATGGCAGAGCCCCTCTAGTATTTAAACTGTTCTCTCCTTTCTTCTCTGCCGGCTATACGCAGTTTAGTTCTTGTCACTTAATTAGGTGTGAGATGGGATTCCACTGTATCCAGTTTCTTATAAATACACTTGGCAGTATGTCTTGCAGGTTCTCGTGTGAACCCATTTCTCCTCCCTTTGAGATTTTCTAAAGACTTTTATTATCTCCTCCCCTTTTATGCCATCCTCAATTTCCACCAATCTCATTTTTTGTAATTCTATAACACGCACACTAAACTATAGTAATAAAATTTGTAGTTTACCAGGCAGTGTGCCAAATGTTTTATGAACATGGAATGCTCACCATAACCCTTGAAGGTGAGTGCCATTATTACAAGATGAAGACGTCACCAGCTTGTCAAGCTTCCGGGGCCAGTAAGTGGCACCAAGGAATTCCTCGTTAGTTTCCCTGGATCTCCCACCTGAGTACACTTGAGAGACAGAGAACACGTGCCTCCCGTCATTGCCTAGCACCACATTTGGCATATAATAATCGCTAAATATAGACAAAGCCTTCTCGACCTGTCTCTGTGCCCCTCTGAAGCTACTTGAACTTCATAAACTTTGCCCCGCTTGCACACAGAGATCACAACACTTACAGCACTTCTGCTTTGTCTCCTCACTAGAGTGTAAGCTCAGTGAGGGCTGAGACTTTGTCTTATAACCAGCACGTCGCTAATGCCCAGAAGAGTAACCAGCACGTGGTACTGACTTAATCGATTAAATAAGCTAATGAACCAGGGAATGTGGCTCTGCAGTCTAAGATGAAACATTGGACGTTGACATACACTTTTCTTTAGTTTCCTTCCCTCCATCTCTTTTTCCTGTTGTCCTATTTCTCTTCCTTAAAAAAAATATATTTAAAATGTTCTTTGGAATTTTAAATACAAATGGCAGATAATACGAAGCTCTTCAAGGGCAGGGATTGCCTGTACCTTTGAGGTTTTGTGTCTTGGCGTTCAGTAGTAGTTAGTGTGTTGTTCCCTGGGGAGACTCTCTAGTCAGTGGTCCTCACTGCTACAGGTGACTCTGTCTGTTGGTATCTTAGCAACCACAGTTGAGTCTTTTTTGTCTTAGTAAAAGATGTTAATGACCCTTACCCTCCCACTTGAGAGAAAAATAATGGCCAGACACAGACCTTTTAAAGCGAAAGCGATTTCTGCTATTAAGCGAAGTGCTAGAGAACAGAACCCGCTGGCTTTTCTTCATAATTTTCATTGCTCCTTCACAAAAGTAGAGTTGAGGTAAACTAAATTATTCTGTGAAGAACTAAATGATTCGAATCATGAAGAAACCCCTCTTTCAGTGGAAGAAAAGAGGTAAGTGTGTGCACAAACATTCCGAGTCAAAATGTGACTTCGTAATGGGAAATCTTCGTATAATACTCCTAAATGAATGTGCAGTTAGGTGGTTTACTTTCTAAATGAGATTTAGAGAGATTTGTTTGCATTTTCTGAAGCAACAGTTTAAAACAAACTTTAGCTCTGTGGCTTGTTTCGTCGATGGAGTTTTGTCTGTTGGGGATAGGAGTGTTTGAAATAGACTTTTAAAAGACTCCTCTATTGCGTTCCCTAACTTTAAGAATTACATTGCTGTGTTTTTATATATGTTGGTATTTTTCTTTTTGGATCAAGTTCTGATATCTCACAAGACAGATAAATTTCAAATTATGTATTTTAATTCCTGATCATGCCTTCTTCCAGTCCATGAGGACATGTAACAATTGTCATACAGTATTTAATGTGGCTTACATGAGTTAAAACAAAATTGGAGGGGCGCCTGGGTGGCTCAGTGGGTTAAGCCGCTGCCTTCGGCTCAGGTCATGATCTCAGGGTCCTGGGATCATGTCGGGCTCTCTGCTCAGCAGGGAGCCTGCTTCCTCCTCTCTCTGCCTGCCTCTCTGCCTGCTTGTGATCTCTCTCTGTCAAATAAATAAATAAAATCTTTAAAAAAAAATTGGAAAGGAATTGTTAAGTAAATGCTGATAACTTTGTACTGTTACGCTTTTGAAAAGTTTTGAATCATAGACCATGAAATTAAATGTTAGTTGATTGATACATGTTCATGTTATATTTAATAAGCTGATTAAAACACAATTACAGCACCTTTGTATCTACATTCTTAATTCTTTCCTTCCCACTACTTAAACTGCTGAAATATTTAGTTAATTTTCCTTCAAAGAAATCACAGTGTGTACAGAGCAGATAAGGTATACTAAATGGAAAGTTGGACAGCATATTGTTAGTTAAGCAATTTGTAAAATGAACATTAGAAAATAATCCCCCATGTGGCATGACTCCAAATAGGAGAGAGACCTAGGCACAGGAGCCGCAGTGGAAAATCATTTTATTTTGCACATTTGCAATTCTTCTAGAGTTTTTATTGATTCAAATGAGTGAGTAGGATTTTTCATTTTTTTTGAAAATTAAGAAAACAATTTTGCTTTTAGCATTATATGATAATTTGAAATGTGTTTATGTGCCCTTTTTTTTTTTTTTTAAAGATTTATTTATTTATTTTAGAGAGAGAGAAAGCAGGGGAGAGGGAGAGAGAATCCAAGCAGTCTCCCTACTGAGTGCAGAGCCAGACGTGGGGCTCAGTCTCATGACCCCAAGATCATGACCTGAGCCAAAATCAAGAGTCACTTAACCATCTGAGCTACTCAGGTTTCCCTATGTGCCCTTATTCTTAAAAAACGAGAAGGACCAAAAACGTGAGGAAGTCACAGAATTAAGTTATTTGAAAGGTTTTTCTGTTCATATATTGTTCAGCACAGTCAGAAGAAAAGAGTTCCGGGCAGCCCTAGTTAGGTATTGCACAGGTGGGTGAAAACGGGAGACTTGCAAGTCCTGCTGCCAAAGGAACCTGCTGAGTGGAAGGAGATGATCAGGAGAGGGGGGGTTTGTTCATGGGCACAGTTTGGGGGGCACTTTGTTCTGTTCAGTAATTAAGGGTTAAGCTGAGTTCTTTGGTTTTGGCTACTGTGATGGGAAATTTGAGTTTCCGGAGCTAAGATAGAATGGAGGAGAACTGAGTAAGGGCTGAGTAATAGTCATTGCCTGTCTTGTATTAGGGGAGTGTCAAGTGTGTGTTGCTTCATGTAATCCATTCTGCAACCCTCAAAACTATTAAGTTAAACCCTATTTACCAGGTGAGGACAGTGAGGCTAAAGTAGGTATACTAATGTCTTTGAGATCCATCAGTT